CTGTATGGCCACGAGCTACCAAATACTACAATTTTCAAAGATTTCAAACTATAGTCCACCCTAAAGGCAATGAAGGAGCTCACAGCAAGTGTGCTAAGCTATTACATGAGGAACTACACAGAAGCAGCTATGTAAAAGTTGTCATCAGAGAGATGTATGACTGAAAAAGTTATGTAGTTATGTCGCTAGAAAAAATCAATAAATAGACCATGTGCTCTACTGGTGTCCAGAGAATTTCAATGGATCTAGAAAATGTCCACAGTACACTACAGGGACCCCCCCCAATAGAAAATTTATGAGTACACAGACAATTCTTGTACAGGATAAGGACAATAGTTGTACAGGACAGCTTACACTGCTGGGTGGAGTACTCACTTCAATAAGATTACAGATCTACCAAAATATGTTCATTTTCATGTAGACTGTGAAAATTCAAATATATCAACAAATTTCTGCATTCAACACACAGACTTCTCTGAATTTGAAGCTGCCCCAAACCCAAGAAGAATGATGGCTGGGTCACCAACTATCCAGAAAAGCCAAAAGGACCAAAAGGGGTCCTAATGTTCTTACACTCTACTGTACAGAATTCTCTTTTTAATCAAGAGAAAATGTGTTCAGCAATAAATAATGGTCGCCAAAGGTATTAATTCTTCACTCTGTGTTTGGCAGAGATCAGGACTAGAAAAAGCAATAGCATTTTGAATTAACTGCCAAGAGCACCTTCATTTTTCTTGCAGAAAGGAAGCAGAATGTTTGGAATGGGACTGTTTTAGCTTTTAAATTGACAAAATACCTGTTAAAATGGACCTGAAAAACTTATTCAAAATGGATGGTGCAGAGAAGCCTGGGGTGAAACCAAGATGGTAGAGTAGCAGGAAGCAATGAAAATGTGCTCCCCTACACTAAACTCTGCAAAACAGACCTAAGTAATACACCAGAGCAAATTCTGATGGGGAAATCCAGCAAAAAGTCACAGTGAGTCATTTATTCAACCCTGCTCAACATATGGAGATAGCCAGACAGGTATAGAGACACTGGGGACAGAGTCTGCTCAGAAGCATGCCTTAAAGAGCACTCGAATGCCCAGGAAAAGGCTGGACACCAAGGCAAGAAGTCCTAGATCCATACCAGGGCAGCCCCAGACTCCTCTCAGGGTACTACAACAATGACAGATCAAAAGTGACAACTTTGTTGCCTGCTATCCAGTTCGGGTTCTCAGATCTAGAGCAGAAAGGAAGAAGCCCCACAATCAGGGTGGTTTTCCAAGATACAGAATTCCTGGACAATATTCTGAGAAAAATGAAGTTCAGAAACCACAGCAGGGTGTGGTTCACACTTCAGGAGTACAACTGGGTCTCAGTCCCTGAATCTGAGCCAGCCTGGCAGGAATTCCAGACCAGAGGGAGTCTACAATTCTGTGACTCTCAACAACAGTTTTCCTAATAGGAGCCAAGTCCAGTAGCAGTCTACAGTTGTTCAGACCAAAACTCTAGTAAGAAAATGGCAGAGCTGAGACCAGAGAGACAGCAATCAGATTTGACCCAGGATTAGACCATTTGGAGAGCACTGAAAGCTTGTAGGGCCCCAGACTGAGCTGTCCCCGAGATCTTAGAATATAACACAACACTCAATACTCAGAACCAGCCCAGGCCTTCCCTTCAGAAGTACACAGAACCAGGGCCTAACAACAAATCAAGAAGTAGGTTAGAAGAATGAACAAACAAAAAATAATACCACCAACAGGGAAGCTCATGATATAAACCAGGAAGAAGAGAATAACTGCAAAACATCTACAAGCAAAGGCTCAAAGGAAAATACAGCTTAGGCACAAATTCAAAGAGAATTTCTGGAAGAAATGAATCAAGAGTTAAAAAAAAGTCAAAATATCTTTGTCAATGAAATGGGAGTGCTTAAAGAAAAAAGTGGAAAATAAATAAGAAAGAAGAAAGAATTGGAAAGGGAATTAACAGCTTGGCATAAAAAGTACAATAAACTTGACTAGGTAACAAATTCCCTGAAAATTAAAATGGACCAAATAAAAGCCAGTGACTCCATGAGACAACCAGAAAGATCAAAACAAGTCAAAAGACTGAAAATATAGAGGAAAAATGTAAAGTTTCTCATGGGAAAAATAACTGATCTAGAAAACCAGATCAAGGAGAAAAGAATTTAAGAATCTCCAATTGGACTCTGTAAATGCCATGACTCCCCCCTCACACACAAAAAAATTCTAGAAAACCGTCCAGATCCATTAGAATCAAAGGACAAAGTAGAAATAGAAATAATCAACTGGTCATCTCTTGAAAGAAATACCAAAATGAAAACTCCCAAGAACATCATAGCCAAAATACTAAGCTTCTAGGTAAAAGCAAAAATGCTGCAAACAGCCAGAAAGAATTCAAGTACTGAGGAGTCACAGTCAGGATCATTTCTGATTTAACAGCCACCATTACAAAGAAATAGAGAATTTAGAATATGATATGGGCTTACAGCCAAGAATAATTTATTCAGTAAAACTGGGTATAATGTTGGAGGGGAAAAACAGACCTTTCATTAAATAAAGGACTTCTAAGCATTCCTGATGAAAAGGCCAGAGCTGTGTAGAAACTGACATTCTAAAATAGGAGTTTAAAAGATACACTGCTCACATTCAAATGTGGGGAGACGATACATGTCCCCTAGGAACCCTATCATCATCAGGGGTCATAGAGAGAGTCTAATTAGACAGTCAAAAATCATTTATTAAGCACTTACTGGAATATGCCAGGCATTATGCTAAGCACTGAGGATACAAAGAGGCAAAAGATAGTCCTTATCCTCAAGGAGCTCACAATCTATTGGGAGAGACAACAAGCAAACATATATGTACAAACAAGCTATACAGAAGATGAATAGGAAATAATCAACAGAGAGAAGGCACTAGAATTAAGAGGTTTGGGAAAAGGCTTCCTGTAGAAGGTAGGACTTAAAAGAAGCTAGGGAACACAGCAGATAAAGATGAGGAGGGAAAGCATGCCAGGCACTGGAGATAGCCAGAGAATATGCCCAGAGCCAAGAGATCTAAGTGTCTTTCTTGTAGAATAGCAAGGCCAGCATCAATGGATCAAAGGGTGCGGAGTAAGATGTAAGTAAGAAGACTGGAAAGTATAGGAGGAGGCTAAATTATAAAGGGCTTTAAATGCCAAACAGGGAATTTTGTACTTGCTGAGTAACTGAACAGGGGAATGAAATAGTCAGACCGACAATTTAGGAAAATCACTTATGACAGACCCAGCAGTCTCTGCAGTAGCAGGCACAAGGAGATGAGGATTTGCACCAGAGTGGTGGTAGTGTCAGAGTAGAAAAGAGTCTGTATTTGAAAGACATTGAAATGGTGAAAATGACAGGCCTTAGCAACAGATTGGACATATGCATGGAGGGGTGAGAGGTGGTGAGGAATTGAGTGGATACCTAGGTTGTGAGATGAAGGGACTGGGAGGATGGTGTTGCCCTCTATAGTAACAGATAAGGTAGTGAGCATTTAGGAAGGAAAATGAGTTTACTTTTAAACATGCTGAGTTTAAGATGTCTACTGGATATGCAGTTTGAAATGTCTGAAAAGGCAGCTGGAGATCAGGATAGGATAAGTAGATTTTATAATCACTAGCATAAAGATGCTAATTAGATCTCATGAAGCTGAGGAGATCACCAAGTGAAGAAGTACGGAGGGAGAAAAGAAGAGAGCTCAAGACAATACCCTGAGGGATACCTATCAGTTAAAGGGTATGATCTGGATAAGGATCCAGTAAAGGAGACAACAAGGAGCAGTCAAATAGGTAGGAGAACCAGGATAGAGTGGTATCCCAAAAACAGAGAAGAGAATATCAAGGAGAGGTAATCAACAGTGTCAAAGGCTGCAGAGAAGTTGATTAGGAGAATAAGGGAGGAGCCAGGTTTCAATAATAACTAGAAGATGGAAAGAAAAGAAGAAGAAAAGAATTAGAATGAAGGGAAGTTGTTGCCTATGGAACTGGCATTCCAGAGGACCCAGTGGAAAGAGAGGGTGGTGTGTGGTAGGAATAGAAAGTCTGGGAGTGTTTCTGTTATATCTTAAGAAAGGGAGGGAAAAAGAAAACCCTTGGGGCAGGGAGTGGATGGAAAGGAAGGTAAGGGAATATTATCTTACATAACTTGGGCACACAACTAGACAGCTATAGAAATAGGAAGGAAGGGTAGGGGAAACAGTTGATACTTCAACCTCACTCTCATCTGAACTAGTCAAAGGAAGGGAAAATTATTTACTCTATAATTAAACGATCGAAGCTTTTGGTTTTAAAGTAAAGGCTCACTAATCTAGGCTAATTAGAGGTAACAACTGACTGGATTACTGAAAACACTTAAAACACTTTCAAAGATATACTTTGTTACTTTCAAAAATAAGAAGAAATTCAACAATATTGTCTACAAGATCCTTGGAGGGCCTCAATTCAAAAAGCATTAAATAGGTGCTGACTATGTGCTACTGGAGTAAGAATAAACCTAATAGATCATACTGTTGGTCCAGCCCCCTCACTTTGTAAAAGGAAATTCAGAGCCAAAGATCCAAGAGCAATTTGCCTAAGTGGATGTAATGATTCACAATGGCCACCTTAAATGAGTAACAAACTGTGTCACTTTCTAACTATTCAAAAAGGGGTGTGTGTGTGTGTGTGTGTGTGGTGTGTGTGTGTGTGTGTGTGGTGTTTGTTCATGGCATCCCAAAGTCTAAGTTTTGTAGACATTCTCCTGGCCTTTTGTGAATCTGGATCACAAGATTAATTACCACTCTTGATAAAGGTGATTACTGAGCTTATAATATAAATCCCAACTTATCACAAATTACTAAATAGTAGGGTTCATGCCAATAAAGTTTAGTTCACTACAAGCACTCACAGAAATTCCTTCCTCAAAACTGAGACTGCGTGTACAAACAAATATTGAGAAAATCATCCTGAATATATAACCCTAGGAATCTATACCTGGAGGATCCTGGCAAATATAGCAGATGTATTTCTCAGGCACGTTGTCTTCTAGCAAACCCATGCACACTCCATGCTGCCAGCATTGACATTCTTCACACTGCAGAAATTAAGCAACAAAGTCAGATTGCAGAGATGTCAAATATATTCTAATGACAACCAACTTGGGAAGCCTTCCCCTCACACCATCTATAGGCTTATTTATTAACAAGTAAGACTTTCACAGATAGTCTGACAGCATTCACACAGGTTCTTCTCACTTCTGTTCATGTTTTAAGGGAAAATGATCAGGCAACCAAGGTAGGGGAGGGAAGAAGAAGAGAAATCAACCACTGAAAGGTTTTCAATGTGCTCAACATTAATTACAGATATCAAAGTACACACAAATTAGTGCCTCCCTTAAGGAATTCATGACCTCATTAGAGAGAGAGAAACACACATGAAACAAATAAAGCACAACTGAGTGCTAAAGGAGTTCAGAAATGAGAGTAATAAAAGTAAGTTTGAGTAGAGACACTTTATTGAAGAGATGAGATTTTTGATGTGCCTCAAAGAATGAGGTAAATGGAGAAGTAAATGTTTCTTGGCAATATTATTTGATATAATGTTAATTACACATAATTGAAATCACAAATTCAAGTGACTTTCAAAAAAGTTTCATATATGGGACACACAAGGCAATGCATCTCAGTTTCCTTCTAACATTGTCAAAATGCAATATACCAGGGTCAGTTTTGTGCTGCTGAAGGCCGCTTATTTCATTAGTCTCTAACTCTTATCCTTCCATTACAGCTATAAGTAAATTATTCAAAACATCTATGCTTAGAGCTAGACCTAGTGGGTGAAAAGTCAGAAGGGGGTAATTTCAGCTCAATGAAAGGAGTATTTTCTAGCAAACACAGCTGTTAGAAACTGTAATGGACTGCCTTACGAAAGTAAGGGGCTTTCTCTCAGTGGGGGTGTTCAAGAAGTTAAATGATAACCCATGCCAGGGGCCTGCAGAAGTGATTTATGCGCTGCCTTGGAAGAGGACTAGCTGGTCTCTGAGTTCTCTTCCAACTCTGAAATCCTAGGAAAGACATATCAGAGGATGTGTAGAAGGTATTTAAGCATACAAATGCATCCAAGTAATGCACCTGAATCACTAAAGAGATAACTTTTTAAAAAAAGCTTTTAAATATAAGTAGGTTTAAAAAAAGTAAATAAAAATAGTTTCTGAAGGTATAGAATCAATCAACAAGCATTTAAGGTGCTACAACGTGGCAGCACCATTGGAGGCACAGAGGATACAAAGATTAAAGTAACAGTTTCCACACTAAAGATGTTTACCTTCTATGAGGGAAAACAAAATGTACATAACAGGCATATACAAAAGATATACAAGGCAATTTTTAAGGGGAAATGCAATAGCAGCTAAGGGGATCAGAAAAGGCCTCATGTAGAAGGCTGTATTTTGAGCTGAGTTTGATGGAAGACAGGTTTACTAAAAGGCAAAAAAGAGGAGGGAGTGCATTCTAAACATGGAGGACAGTCAGTGCAAAATCCTGTAGATAGGAGATAGAGGGTCATGTATGAGAAAATAATAAAGTCAGTATGGCTGGATCAGAGTGTCAGAAGGAGAGTAATGCGTAATAAAGCTGGAAAAATAAATTGGTATGAAGTCAGGAAGAGTTTTGAATTCCAAAGAGAGAAGTTCTGATTAACTAGAAAAGTGACATGGGTGAAGACCTGCCTTAAGAAAATCATTTGGAGCTATGTGGAGGCTGAACTGGAGTGGGGCAGATACGTGAAGCAGAGAAACACTGTAGAAAACCGCAATTTGCCCCTCTCAGACTTGCCTAGATAAATCTAACAAAAACATAAAAAAAAAAATTAAACAACTGAATGAAATTTTAGAAGTTAGATATGATAGACTTCTGAAGAATACTAAATGGGAATGAACAGAATGCATCATTTCTCAGCTGGGCATGGTCCTTCACAAAAAATTAACATATTTTAGGGCATAAAAAATTCACTAATAAATGCAGAAAAGCAGAAATACTGAGTGTGTCTTTCACTGATCATAACGCAATAGGGCACCTAGGTGGCAAAGGGGATACAGTGGTGGGCCTACAATCAGAAAGACTCATCTCCCTGAGTTCAAATAGGCCTCAGACACTTACTAGCTGTGTGATTTTGGGCAAGTCACTTAATGCATATTTTCCTCAGTTTCTCATCTGAGAATCAGTTATTTCATTAAAGATAATGACAACAATGAGATAACATACTACAATTTGTGGGATGCTGCCAAAGTGGTATGTAGGGAAATTTTTATATCTCTAAACATATTCATCAATAAAAAAAGAAAAAAAGCAGATCAATATACTGGGCATGAAACAACAATTACAAAAAACCCTAGAAAACCAACAAATTAGGAAAAAGCCACTATTCTAATCTGTTTTAATTAGAAAATTTTTAACAGAAAAATTAAACACCAAAATAGAAATACTAAAGATCAAAGGAGAAATTAAGGAACACTGAAAGCAAAAAATTTAAAAACAAACAAAGAGGTGGTTTATTGAAAACAAACAAAACAATATATAAGCAACTACTAACAAGGAAAGAAAACAAAATTATCATTATCAAAACTTTAAAAAGTGAATTAACAACCAATAAAGAAGAAATAAAATCAATTATAAGATCTGTTTCATCCAACCATACACCAATAAAACTGATGATCTAAATGAAATGAATATTACAAAAATAAAAATTGCCCAGATTAACAGAATAAGAAGAACTTAACCCTACTTTAGAAAAGCAAATTCAACAAGCTACAAACTATTTCCTAAAGGAAAAAACCCCAAGACCATATAGATTTATAAGCAAATTCTACCAAACATTTACAGAATTAATATCTATACCATACAAACTCTATTTTTAATATAGGTAAAAACGGGGGTCCAACAAAATTCCTTCTATGACACAAAAACGGTCTTGATAACTAACCCAAGAAAAGTCAAAATAGAGAAAGGAAACTATAGACCCTAACGAATACTGATGTAAAAATGTCAAATAAGATATTAGTAAGGAGACTACAGCAATGAATTACAAAGATCATACGCTATGATCAGAATGCTAGGCTAGTTCAACACAGGAAAACTTTAGGCATAACAGACCACATTTATAACAAAAACAACAAAAAATCATATGATTATTTCCTTAGCTGCAGAAAAAGCTTCTGACAAAATACAACAGCCATTCCTGTTTAAACACACGCGTGCAGGTGCACACAGGAATAAAGATTTACTTCAAATGATAAGTAGTATCTATCTAAAACCAAAAGCTAGCATTATCTGTAATGGGCATAAGCTAAAAAGCCTTTTCAATAAGATCAGGGATAAAACATTATTATTCAATATTGGACTAGAAATGCTAGTAATAGCATAATAAAACAAGAAAAAGGAATTGAAAGAATAAGCAAAGGCAAAGAAAAAAAACCAAAACTACCACTTTTTTGCAGAGGATATATGATGGTTTACTTAGAGAACCCTAGAAGGTCAACTAAAAAGTTAAATGAAACAATTAACAACTTCAGCAAAATTTTAGGATACAAAATAAACCCACACAAATCAGTAGCATTTCTGCATACTATCAGCAAAATTCAGCATTTAAAGATAAAAGGAGAAATTCCATTTAAAATAACTACAGCCAGTATAAAGTACTTGAAATTAGCTGCAGAACTATTCTTGAGTAGGCTGAGCCAATATAATAAAAATGACAATACCACCTAAATTAATTAATTTATTCAGTGCCATAGCAATAGACCCAAAGGCTTACTTTGTAGATAGAAAAAAAAATAAAATTAATCTAGAGTAACCAAAGGTCAAGAATATCAAGAGAATTAATGGAAAAAAAAAAGTGGGGAGGAAGGAAGCCTAGCAGCACCAGATTTCATACTATACTACAAAGTTATAATCATCAAAACAATTTGGTACTGGGTAAGAAACATAGAAGTTGATCAATGGAACAGAGATTAGGTACACAATATACAGAAGCAAACAAGCATAGTAACCAAGTATTTGATAAACTCAATGATCCCAACTATTGAGGTAAGAACTCATCCAACAAAAGCTGTTGAGAAAACTGAAAAAGTAGTCTGGCAGAAACTAGGTACACACCAACACCCCACACTGTATATATAAAAATAATCTCCAAATGCTATATGACTCAGACATAAGAGACAACATTATAAACAAATTAAAGGAGCACAGAAGAAATCACCTGTTAGATCTATGGATAGGAAAGGAGTTCATGATCAAATAAAAGATCACAGAAGTAAAATGGACACCCTGAAATACACAAAACTGAAAAGGTTTTGCACAAACAATGCAGTTAAATTAGATGAGAAATAGGAAATTGGGGGGAAATCTCTGCAGCAAGTTTCTATGATAAAAGCTGCATTTCTAAACTACATAGGGAATTCAATCAAATTTATTAGAAGAACAATTCTTATCAAAGGATAAATGAATAGATAATTTGCAAAGAAAGAGATCTGAGCTATTGACAGCCACATGAAAAAAAATGCTCTAAATCACTCAAAACCAGATAAACACAAATTAAAATAACTCTCATTTGGCACTATATGTCCATCAGACTGATAAGGGGAAAAATGGAAATGAAAGGGAACTGACTAGCTACGAGAAAACAGGTACTTTAATTCACCAATGCTGGAGCTCTGAAGTGATCCAACAATTCTGGAAAACAATATGGAACTATGCCCCCAAAGCTATTAAACTGTATATATCCTTTGATTCAGTGATACCAGTTATCAATACACTAAAGAGATCAAAGAAAGAGGGAAAGGACCCATATGGACAAAAATATTTATATCAGACTTTTTATGGCAGCAAAGAATTAGAAATTCAGGGGTTGCCCAATGGAAGAACAAGTTACAACATATGAATGTGATGTAATACTATTGTGTAACAAGAAATGATAAAGGGGATGATTTCAGAAAAACCTTTTAGAACTTGTACAAATTGTTTCACAGTAAAATGAGCAGAACCAGAAGAACAATTTATATATTAACAACAATACTGCAAACATAAACAACTTTAAAAGATTTAATCAATACAATGACCAACCACAACTCCAACATGCTATCTATCTCCAAATAGAGAGCCGATGGACTGAGAGTGCAAATCAAGGCATATTTCCCATCCTTTCTTTTCTTTCTTTCTTTGGTGTGTGTGGGAGGTGGGGGTAGGGGTAGGAAGTTGATTAGGGAGTTAAGGAACATGGCTAATGAGGGAATGTATTTTCCTCGACTAAACATATTTGTAACAATTTTTTTTTTGTCTTCTATAAGTGAAAAGGGAGAAATGAAAGGAAGGAAATTAGGAACTGAAAATAAAATTGAATTTTTAAAAAGAACAAAATGAACAACTAGAAAAAATAAAGAGATTTTCTTAAAAACTATTGCATAAAAAATTGAAAGAATGAATAACTAAGAACAAAAATCAAAGTTTGACAAACATAGAGAAATCTATAAAAACCTGAAAAACAAGTCAAGAACAGATAATTTCAGAAACAATGGACTCCTTGAAAGCCATGATTTAAAAAAAAAAAAAGGTCTGGTCCCTATCTTGAAGAAATCATATATGAAAACCCTCCCTATATATTAGAATCAGAAGACAAAGCAAAAATAAAAAGAATTCACAAATCACCTTCTGAGAGAAAAACCAAAAGGAGAAGTCCCAGGAAAATCACTGCAAAATCCAGAATTTCCACATCAAAGAAAAAAATACCGTAAGGAGACAGAAAGAGTTCAAGTACCATGGAACCAAAGTCAGAATCCCACAAGACCTGGCAACTTCTACTCTCCATAACAGAATATCTTAGAACATTCCAAAGTCAAAAGGTAGGGGCTTGCAACCAAATATCCTACAAAGCTAAGCGTAATCCTACAGTGGGAAAAATGAACTTCTAAAGGAATACAAAATTGTTGACATTCCTGATGGAAAGAACAGAGCTAAGTAAAAACTTTGAAATGCAAATACAAGACACCTAGAAAGTTAAATTTATTCCAACAATTGGAAGGTGTTGTATGATAACAAAGGACTAACACTCTAATAACAGGAGAAGAAACAAACCCTCCACAACCTTAAAATCTTCCAAGGGTACTGTTCTGAGGGTTTGAAGGAGGGAATTAGAAAGGAGGGTAAAAGGAAGAGGAGGGGGGTGAAATGTGCTATTTCTCATAAATGGGGTAACAATAATATCTAAACAAAGAATTGGATGAGGAGAATGGGTATCAGATCAACCTCATTCTTACCTGAACTGAACAAAGTCGGGCTGAATGACTACACAAACATACACAGAGAATAAATACACACAGAGACAAACGCAAATACATACAGATTTCTATAGAAATACCTCAAATTCAACATAGAAACACGCAGGGATAGGGAATGCAGGAGGAGGATGCTAGCAGTGAGGGAATAATCACAAAGCAAACCTTCTCCTTGTTCCCTGCTCCTGGAGCTCACCATGTTAATGTTAAGCTTAGTCCAGAACCCTGACTGGCTTTGGTGCACTGCAGCTAAGAAATCCTGAGTTCAAGACATCTACCAGTCCTAGCCTCCCCAGTAGCAAGGATCACAGGTGTGCCCTACCACGCCCAGTATAAGAGAGCCACTTACGCCGCTAACTCTCAATTTACAGTGAAATATACATTCCTTTTGGGTAGAGTCAGCTTCATCACTATGTTTGATTCCCCAACACTCACTATAGGACTTGAACAAAAAGATAAGAGAAGATACCCTCACTCCATCCCTCTGTGGAGGTGGGAAGTCCACAGGTGTTACACATGGCATATGTTTTCAGACTTTTTCAATGTATACATCAGTTGTGGTGATCTTTTCCCCTCTCTAAAATACTATTTGTTATATGTGGGATGGCTCTCTGGAAGGGGAAAGGATCTGTGGGATAACTACAATATAAGAAACAGAAGACATCAGTAAAACCTTATTTTTTAAAAAAATTGTATCCACATACCTGAATCATAAAGTCATTTTCTTCCTGGACCTCACAAATACACCGAACGACTTCAAAGTCAAAGTTGTCTTCTCCATCAGGATCATCATCTGGATTAGTGGTCACATCAATATCGTGGCTACAGTCTTCATCACTCCAGAGAAAACTCTCTGAAGAAGAGTCACTCACATTATCTTCTTCTAAAGCATGTGTGTAAAGAAATGGCAACTGCTGAGTACATGGTCTTCGGATGAAAGAGTGAATACTTACTATATTACAACTCTATTAATACAATTTTATATAACTTTGCAGTTGCAAAAGCACTTTATATACATTCTCGAATATTATCCACAAACTAGTTCTATAAAAGCACCTACTGTATGCAAGGCATTGTTCGAAGCACTTTATAAGTACTTCCTCTTATTCTCAGAAGAACCTTATGAGGCAGGTGCTATTATAGTCCTCATTTTACAGTTAAATGAATTGAGGCAACTTGGTCAGGGTTGCACAGCTAGTACAAGTGTCTGAGGTCAAATTCGTTTTTTTGTTTTTTTGCTAGGCAATGGGGTCAAGTGACTTGCCCAGGGTCACACAGCTAGTTAAGTGTTATGTATCTGAGGCCACATCTGAACCCGGGTCCTACTGACTCCAGGCCCAGCATTCTACATCAACTAGCTGACTATAAAAGTATCTACAATTGAGATATAGTCCCATCCTAGAGATGAAGAAAATCAAGACTCAGAAAGGTGAAACCAAATGTTTATGATCACTCAGCTGGTGAGTTGGGAGAGCAAGGACTAAAGAAGCCAGGTCTCTGAACTGCAAGTACCCACGTCCACAGTACCACAAAATATTTTCTCTTTCTTGTGACTCCAAATCTGCCCCCCACCTCATTCACTTCCAACCTACCAGGGTTCTGGGTTCACGGGAAGGCTCTGACAATCTGATTTATCAAAAAATTATAAAATAATAGTTTTTTTAATATAAGTAAGATGTAACAGCCATTATATAACTTAACACCACAAAAGAGCTACAAATACAGAAATCCCTACTTATTTTTATTAACCACACTTTTATTTTTTTAAATTATTTTTATTTATTTATTACTTTGTTAACCATACTTCCTGCCGGGAACATAGACAATCAAAGGGTGACTATAATTTTTTTTGTTTTATCTTTAATTGGTCTTATTGCATGTTGATTTTCTTACATTTACAAGTTTGCAGGTAAATTTACCAAAATATCACAGATTTCCCACTTTCACAGTATGGAAATCTTTTCCTTCTTTCTTTCTAAAAAAAATTTTATTGATGTGTTTTATACCAAAGTCATTTCTAGAATGTACCAATCCCTCCAAACCCCGAGTCTTCCTGTGTAACAAAGAAAAAAATCTTAAAACCATATCAAGCAAAACCACGTTTCTGCTACTTCTGAACCAGTGTTAAAAGGTATGCAATGTTCCATACCCACAGTTCCCCATACCTTCAGCCAAGGGACCTTCCCCTTAACACTTCTTTTTAAAAGGTGGCCCCTACTTCAGTTCTGTACTTCCTGTAAGGCAGGGGAAGCTTAGCTAATATTTATACATATGCACAAGGAAAAGACAGCCAGCAGGGGTCTTGTTTTCACTCCTAAGAGGTTTTCATTTTCTCTATGTTATTCCTGAGAGCATTCGTATGAATAATCCTCAACACTGCTAGTTGGTAAATGATTTAGAAGAAGTCAATAATCACAAAGAACTGATATCCTTTGTTCAAGTCACAGCACCTAAATGAATTTATCAACCTCAGGTTGTGGCTTCTCAGGAGGTCTTCTTTTTATCTCCTGGATCTCATCTTATATAAGCTGGCCAGACAAAAGAGAAAAATTTAACCATCTGCTGTTCTACTGCCCAAATCTGGTATGCAAAGTAACAATATAATATGGCTTCTACCACCTTTGGAGAAAAGTTTCAATTCAAAGGAAGTAAAGAGAAAGTCAATTAAGCAGGATGGGACAATTAGTAGCAAAGAGTGGAGGAGGAAAGAAAATGGTTTCATGGATTGCCTTATTTTAAAGGAATCCCTGCCAAAAGTTTCCTTCCATTTCCTAAAATCAAACCATGACCTTAATTTGTTGTATTATAAACAATGAAGCAAGCTAAATTTAGCACACAGTCATTTAATATGGTGGACATTACAGAATCACACAATCTCAGAATTAAAAGGACTCACCTTGCTAGAAAATGGATGAAGCATTTTCTGGGAAGAATTCCCTCCTACAGAAACATGTCTGTCAACAGGGGGTTCAAGCAACCTCCAATAAAGGTGCTTACTTCTAAAGAAATAAACCCTTTCTAAGTCTGGATTCTGAACAGCCTTAAAGTTTCCTCCATGTTGCTGCCTATAAAAACTTGTTATGGCTCAGAGGGTCTGGGCTCTCTACCGGGATACGGGTACCCCCCTTTATTCATATTTCTAAGCCAAATGAATGGGACATATATGTTCATTCTCACCAGGTATTTTTCCTCTTTCTCGGTGATTTCCAGAATCAGAGTTATGCACCGATGTACTCAGGGGAGTACCAGATTTATTTGAGGAACTACATCTGGTAACAGCAAACGGCTTGGGAGGTGAACACTCCTGGGAAACATCACTAGCATCTTCACTGCAAGAATATTCTGTAAGCAAAACAAAATCAGGAGTGAATGATGCTACATGGACAAATAGACCTGTACTGAATTTAAATAAGCAGCATGTACACAGTACAATTTGTGAACTATAGAATTTTGTGGTGCAAACATCAGTTACATAAAAAGATTTTCATCCAAAATATTTCCATTAGCCTTTTTTCACACTATAAAAGATCAGTCCTTTTTAAGAGTGGCTGAACCTGTCTGCGAATAACTCCCTATGACTCTAGAAGTGTGAGAAGAATCAATCCCTCAAGAGCCAGCTCTAGTTTTCACCTAATTAGCAGACAAACAGTGCAATATGTGGAAATTTTGGTTATCATTTCATGTCAACACAAATCTAGATCAACTCATGCGAATTTCATCAGGAATAAACTTACAAATACTAACCAGGTGTCAAAACTAACAGAGGCAAATCTCATCTATTCTGCATTCTACAACCAGAATTGAGGACCACCTCAATATTCAGCAACGTGATTTGGGCAGGGTTTGGGAAAGGGGTGAGATTCACTTCTAAACTCATTTTATCAGATTACAGCATCCCAAAATCAGGGCAAAGACAAAGTGCTTCCTCACCTCCAGAGATTAGGCAGCAACTTTGAATACACTGCCCAAACTTGAGAGGACTAAGAAAAAACCCACCCCCATATTCAATTACAAACATCTTTTCCACAAAGGGAAAATATTACCAGACTTAGATTTCTTTTTCTTTTTCTTTTTTTTCTTCGACTTCAATCTCACAAATTCTCTGAACTTCTTTTCTTTGTTCTTTTCCTTGTCTTTTACAGCTAGGAGAGAAAAGAATTTTAAGCATTATTTTAAATCTTACAAGTCTTTGAGCTTTTTCTTCTCTGATTTCTGATTCTTATCCCTTTTTCCTTCTACTGTTAAGGGCATCACCATCCTTTCTGATCATCTGAATTTGCAGCCTTGGTGTCGCTCTCAATTCTTCATTCACCCCATATATACAATCCATTAGCAAATCCTGTAACTTCTTCCTTAAAAAATCACTTTCCCTTTTCTCCATTCATACAAGCAAGTCCAGGCCCTCATCACCTCTCAAACAGACCACTGAAACAGCTTTCAAACTGGCCTCCTGGCCTCAACTATCCTACCTCCCCCATCCACCCACAGCTGCTAAGGTGTTTTTTCTGACACACAGGTCCAAATAATGTCACCTCCTACTCACTGAATTTCAGTGGCTCCCTATTACCTCAAAGATTATATATAAACTCTTTACTTTAGTAGTTCTTTACAACTTAGCCTCTTCCTATCTTTCCAGGCTCCTTAGATATCATTCTACTATACACACTCTTGAGTCCAGCCAGACTGGCCTACTTGCACTTTCTCATACCTGAAGCTCTTCTCTCATCTCCATGCCTTTGCACTGGCTACCCTCATGTCTAGAAAGTTCTTCCTCTTCACCTCTGCCTCAAAGAATCAGTGGCTTCCTTTAAGACTCAGCTCAAGCACCATCTCTTGTAGGAGGTCTTTCTCAGACCCGCCTCCTCTCCCCTCCAATACCCATTCCCACCTGATAGTGCCTTCCCCTATCAAGCTATCTTCCATCTACTCTACATATACTGATTTATGCACATTTTGACTACTTGATTGGAATGTAAGCTCCCTGAGGGCAGGAACCATTTTTACGCATTTAATAAATGTCATTTTGTTAAAATAAAATGTTACACTCTTAACTATGTGCAAACCCAAAAAAACAGCAATGAAAATCAGGCCTTCCTGAGAAGCCAATGGGATGTAATTAATTCTAATTAGAATTAGACTTCTCATCAGCAGTCTTAGCTTCTAACAATAGCTCTTCCACTAACTGACTATGTAATCTTGACTAAGTCTCTTTCCTCCTCCGGGCCTAGGTTTCTTCCTCTGCAAAATGAGGGAGGCACCCCAGTTCTTCTTAGGAGCTGCTTTTTATTTTTATTTTTTAATGTCTTGGGAGGAGACAAGTATTCCAAATGATATGCCACAATCCTAATTGAGAAGTTAAAAAAAAATTTAAGAGGAAAGGACATGATCACAGCAATGAGGAGATAAGACAGAGGATCCACATATTTGTCTGTGTGCGTGTACGTACGTGTGTGTGTGTAAATGAGATGGGATCCCCTGGACTGATGGACTGTAACATCCCTTCCAACCAAAACAATACATGATTTCTATGCATTTCAAAGTGTTCCAATGACCCCTAATTTATAATAAACTCATATTTCTTTATGACTTTCAAGCTTACAATATTTATTGCTTATGGCTTGCTGAGTTTCTTTTTAAAGAATGTTCTCTTTTTTCTTTATTTCTAATTTTGTTAATTTGAGTATTTCGTGTATTTGCAGATGTCCATTCAATTCCTCTGAATAACTCAGGTTTTGCTTGCACCGAGCTCTGCATCATAGTCTCTGATAATTCTATTTCCTTTCAAATGTAACTACACTTTGTTCATTTTCAATTTAAGTAATTTGATATTTTTTTAAAACAAGTTAGCTAATCAATTATCCATTTTGCTAGGGTTTTTTTTTCTTTTTCAAAAAAATAGCTCTTAGTTTTGAGTTTTGTAAGTCTTTTTTCATGTCTCTTTCTCCTCTAAGAAAAATAAAATTTACACTGAGCTTTCCTCACAATGATCTCATGAGGCAAATAGTGTAAATATTACCCTCTCTACTCTCTAAAGTGGACACTGACAATCAATCAGAGAGGACAAGTGACTTGTTTGATGTTTCAAAGCTAGTAAATAATTGTTCCAGCTGGACTGGAGATTCAGGTCACAGAACCAGAGATTTCAGAGTAGAAGGTACCTCTGGAAACCATTTAGTTCAGCCCCCATTATCAGTTCTGAGTTCTAAAGTCTTTATCTTCATGTCTCCTAAGAGCTGCCCCTTCCGTAACCCTTTCACATGCCCCCTCCTCCAGGCCACTGCCATCCTCAGGTGTAGCAGACTAAGTATCTCAAGACTCATTCAATGCTACAAAATGAGTGTGTGGTACAGCCACGAACCAAACCAATATCTTTGTACTGCATCTCAAACATAGTATCTTAAAAACTGAGAAAAAGAAACAACAACTGGACAGCTTCTCAGTAAGATCCTCTGATTGATGTTCAAAGCCGTTCATAACCAACCCCCACCCCAACTATCTTTCCAAACGTCTCATACCTTACACCCCACTACTCTACAGTTTTTGATCTCTTCCATTCCTTTAACAAGACTAGAGTACTCTTATCTCTCATCTCCAGATATTTTCTGTCATACCTGGAATTCTCTCTCTCTTTATTTCCACCTCCTGGCTTCCTTCAAAATCCCCCAACTTAAATCTTATCTTCTATAAGAAATTTTTCCCAAACTCTCTTAAATCTAGTGCTTTCCCTCTGTTATTTCCTATTTATCCTACATATAGCTATTCTGTACATAGTTGTGTGCATATTTTCTCCTCTAATTAGACTGTGAGCTCCTCAAGAGTTGGGACTTTTGGCCTTTTTTTTCTTTTTTTGTATTCCCAACACTTAGCACAACATCTGGTGCGTGGCAGATGCTTAATACATTTTGCCAACTGAAGGGACTTAAAGTTGTCACAGACAATTGCCAATCCTCCTGTGTCTTAAGTATGTTCCAATTAATTTAAGCCCGAAGTCATTTACAGTGTTTTGTCACAGGGCTACAGGGCTATGCCTTGAAGCTCAGGTCATTCTCTTACATCAGGAAGTTAGCTCAGGAATAAGTCTAGTTTACCTTTCACAACACTCAGTACCTAAAGAAAAAATAACAGAAACAGCCCAAACCCTCCTTCCAGACTGGAAGAATGAGCAAACAACAACAACAAAAACAATCCCACCATAAAGAGCTCTTATCATAGAGAAGCTCACAACATAAACCCAAAAGAAGAGAATGACTCTAAAATATTTACAAGCAAAGCTTCAAAGAAAAACCCAGCTGGGGCAAAAATTTATTAGAATTCCTAGAAGAAATGAGGCAACAGTTTAAAAAAAAGTTTAAAATGTTTTTAATAAATGAAATCAGAGCACTTGAGGAAAATTTTGAAAAAGAAATGAGAGATATGGAAGAAAAAATTGGAAAGGGAACAAACAGCTTGGCACAAGAAGTATAAAACCTTGTCCAAGCAACATATTCCATGAAAATTAGAATAGATCAAATAGAAGCAAAAGAGCTTATGAAACAATAAGAAAGATTAAAACAAAATCAAAAGCCTAAAAATATAGAGAAAAATTAAGGTTATCTCACAGCAAAAACAACTGACCTGGAAAACTGATCAAGGAGAAAAAAGTTAATAATCACTGGATTTCACTTTCTTGCTGTATTCAAAAAGTGGAGATCCCAGCTCAGCCACAGCACGGGCACCATGAAGTAAAGTGGGAATGGGAGGAAGAATACCTTTCTGCCTTCCCCTCTACTTTTAGATTCCCTTGATATGACTGGAAGTATTTATACTGTTCTATTTCATTTTGTCCTCAGTTTTAGCTGCCAATGGGTGATCCCCACTGGACCCAGAAGTTGCAGCCACGACAATCGTGGAGCCAGGATTCTAGGTGGGACATTACAATCAGCCCAGAAGGGAAGTTCCAAAAAGCCAAGGTGATCCGAGACTCAAGTCCAAGAGGGGTTTTGGAATTGGGACTGAGGTTTATAGGAAGTGAGTTAAGATGTCTGTGTATTTGTTTTATATTTCTTTGTCAAAGCTAAAGTGATTACCAGTGGTTAAATGGAACTAAGGTACAGGGAAGTACCCCACATACACAAACACATGCTTGAGGGAACACTACAAGTCAGCTACATTGGCATAGTTTTCCAAACTTTTCATTTCTGATTGCCTATTTAAGGACTGACACTTCTGTACATAAGTATTAAAACAGTTATACAGTCTATATTACTGAGTCCTGTATTATTAAGCTTAATGTGAGAAATCTGACAAGTGCAGCTGGGTGGTGAAGTACATAGAGCTCTGGGCCTGGAATCAGGAGGACACATCTTCCGGAGTTCAAATTTGGCCTCAGACACTTACTAGCTGTGTGACCCTAGGCAAGTCACTTGACCCTGTTTGCCTCAGTTTCCTCATCTGTAAAATGAGCTGGAGAAGGAAATGGCAAACCACTCCAGTATCTTTGCCAAGAAAACCCCAAATGGGGTCACGAAGAGTTGGACACAACTGAAATGACTGAACAAGAGAAATCTAGTATCACAAGACTGCTACTATCTTGTAAAAATATTTATATTGTTCTTTAGCACTGAAACCAACCTAGAGTATTTGCCTTTTGTAAAAGCAAAATAATTCTTCAGACAGAACGCCTGTGCCTAAAATCCACAAGTAGCTGCCTTTCTTTGCTACTTCTCCAACTGCTCGTACTTGTCTTTTTTGTCCAGATATGAGTGTGAAATTCCATCTGGTTTATTCTGGCAGAAGCATGGATCCACTTGGGGAATTTCTGGTCCTTTGGAATAAGAACCCAGAGAAAATTGCCCAGACCTCTATTCGGGAATCACCTACGGTACAGAGGGACTTGCAGAGAATTTTGGTGTGTCCTATATAGAAAGGGACATATTGTCCAGACCCCCCGTTTGATTGCCTAGACCCCCCTTGGATTGCCCAATGCCCTGAAGGAGGAATCTTGGAAGTTTCTACCCAGGAAAATTTTAAGCCTCTAGTCCACAATAACTCCCAAATCTCTGTGGGGAGAGCTCCATCTAAGGTGTGGACCAGGTTTTCCTATGAAATGGGAATATAGTTTTCTTTGCCTGTTTTTTCACTTTTTGGGTAAAGAAAGGCCCTG